CAGGCGTTGTGGCGGGCACCTGTAGTCCCAGCTACTTGGGAGGCTGAGGCAAGAGAATCACTTAAGCCCAAGAGTTTAAGGTTGCTATGAGCTGTGATGCCACAGCACTCTACCTCAGGTGACAAAGTGACACTCCATCTCAAGAAAAACAATGAGATTAGTTTTTATACTAGTCAAGCTTTCTAAATTTCTAGGTTATTCAAAGAACAGTTCTTTCCTCCAAGTATATTCTGATTTGGACACACATCATGTTATTATATTGCTTGTATTTTAAGCAGTCATTTATAGCTAATAGCGTATCCCTATTTTATGTAGAGGAATTGACAAAAGTGAGGAAGGAAAAGTTACATTAGGTTAATACAACTGATTTGAAATAGGGTTATGGATAAAGTGTTTTCCCTTCCTTTTTCAGGGCTTCTCACTGGGAGATATTCCTCCTTTTCTAGGCACTGTCAATGATGGCATGAATTCTTCAGCACATTCTAATGTAAACTTTAGCCAGGCTATAAGTCACGATGTGAACCTTCATGAGGCCATGTTGTTGTGTCCCAACAATACGTTTAGAAGAGATCCAGTAGCAAGGACTTCACAGGCACAAGCAGCATTTCTGCAGTTAACTTCTCATACTATCAATCCTGAGCAGACCCTTACTGTAACTAATTTGCCAGGCTCTCTCCCACCTGTTGACAATCAAACAAGGACTCTGACAAGCCAGGACCTACTATATGATCTTGACATAAACATATTTGATGAGATAAACTTGATGTCATTGGCCACAGAGGAAGGTTTTGATCCAATGGAAGTTGCCCAGCTTTTTGAAGAACCAGATTCTGATTCTGGCCTTTCTTTAAATTCAAGTCACAATAGAACCTCTGTCACTAAGTCTAATTCTTCTCACTCTGTGTATGATGAAGGTGCTATAGGTTATAATAGTGACCTTGACTCTCTTTCCCATCTTAACTTAGAAGGGGCTGTAGGAGGTTACTACACAGAACCCAGTAAGCTTTGTCACGTGGACCATAGGAGTGCTTCTGGTTTCCACAGCAATCTTTCGTTTCAACACGTATTTCATAACCACACTTACCACTTACAGCCAAGTGCACCAGAATCCACTGATGAATCTTTTTCATGGCCTGTGAAATCACAGAAAATGAGTAGGCACCTCAATGACACAGATAGAAACTTGAGTCGTGATGAACGGCGTGCTAAAGCTTTACACATCCCTTTTTCTGTAGATGAAATCGTCCGTATGCCTGTTGATTCTTTCAACAGCATGTTAAGTAGGCACTATCTGACAGACTTACAAGTCTCACTCATCCGTGATATCAGACGAAGAGGGAAAAATAAAGTGGCTGCTCAGAACTGTCGTAAACGCAAATTAGACATAATTTTGAATCTAGAAGATGACGTATGTAATTTGCAAGCAAAGAAGGAAACCCTTAAGAGAGAGCAAGCCCAATGTAACAAAGCTGTTAACATAATGAAACAAAAACTGCATATCCTTTATCATGATATTTTCAGTAGGTTAAGAGATGAGCAAGGTAGGCCAGTTAATCCAAACCAATATGCACTTCAGTGCAGCCATGATGGAAGTGTTTTGATTGTACCCAAAGAACTGGTGCCCTCAGGCCACAGAAAGGAAAACCAAAAAGGAAAGAGAAAAAGTGAAAGAAGAAACTGAAGATGGACTCCCTTATGTGGACAAAGTACTACTGTTAAGAAACTGCTCATCTGGATCACAAACCATTGTAATCAACATTAAGTACTGCTACTTGAAGTGCTCAGTTAAGGCTGTTTTGAAGTTTACATAGATAAATATTTTGGACTCTGAGATCGTACTTGTGAGGAATTTAGGGGAAACCACTTTTCATGAAATCCTATTAAGATTCATAAAGTTTTGGTTCAAAGAATAGGATAATATGAAAACCTGGTATGACTTAGCATTCACTTTGGAGCCAATTTTTTAAAAATGAGGTCACTTCAAAAAGAACAGGGGATCTGTTTTAAGATGTATTTGTTTCCTATGACTTAAAATGCAAAATAGCCTTATTTCCACTGTTAGTACTATAGTGAAGTTTTCAAAGGCTATTTTTAACTTTTATGAGTAATTTAACTCTGTGGAAATAAACTTGAATGTGTTAAATTTTCCCTTTTATACAGAAGTTCCAAGCAAATTTATTTTCCTCCCAAACTATCCACCTTCAGGATTAGTGACTAACAAATAGGGCAGCACAGTGAAAATTTGAACTTATACAGATAAATTAGACTCAGGTCAGATGGATGTCAACATTATGGCAAATGCCCTTTGACTTAACACATACTATACAAAATAAAAAGTAAAAATGGGAGGCCAAGGCTGGTGGAGTGCTTGAACTCAGGTGTTCTAGAGACTAACTGGGCATTGTGGTGTCTCTAGTTTCACCTACACAGGAGGCTGAGGGAGGCAAGAATTTTGAGGTTGCTGTGAGCTATGACACCACACTTCTGAGGGTGACAAAGTGAAGACTTACATGTCACCCCCCCCTCCCAAAAGACCAGCCAAGTCTAAACCAGCTGTTCTCAACCTGAGAGTGACAACACACAGGAACTATATTAAAGGGCTGCAGCATTAGGTTGTATTAGGCTTTAATGCAGGGCTGGGAGAGGGGAATGGTGCAAAGCCATAGTGGTTGGCAGCTTAGGCCACAGACCTCCCTCCTTCCCTGTAATTCCACAGGTATAATGGAGCTGCCTGCCTGCATAACCAGAACTCCTTGGGTATTATTAAACCCATTAAGTCCTTGGCCAGCTATAGGGCTAGGCTCACAGCCTAAAATACTGAAATCTCACCAAACCATTTCAGAAATTTGAATATTAACAGGAAACTGTGCATTTTCTTAAGATAGCAAAGACCTCCCACATAAGATTTTAACATGGTAGTCTAATTAATACCCATATTTTTACAAAGGTTTTCAGATGATGTCCCTGCTGTACCACCATTGACTTGGTTTACGATTTTATCAGAAACCATGAGAAGTACTGCCGTGGGTTATGGATATACAGCTTTCATAGTCTTGCACCTTAACATTCTTTTTCCATTTTAAGCTGGGTATAGCCATTTCTTCCAAGCCCTAGATCTTCCTAGCTATTAATAGGTTTTCAGTAGATCCAAAACTTGATTGTATTGCAACTGTGAGGCACATTAAAACAAATTTAAGCTTAAAATTTAAGAATCCTACAATATCAATTTCTCTGCTACTCATACTGCTTGTCACTGTTCTTTTCAAACCTGAGGAGGGAAGAAAAAAATAAAGCTGGGAAATGTTTAGGGACTGAAATTCAAACTAAAATTTTAAGATATTGATGTAAGTTATGTGCGGAGCCTGGAACCAGTATCCCCAGATACCAAGGGACTGTAGTTAACCCATTGTTTTAATAACCACTTCCACCACTTGCCCGATCACTAAGTTATGTCACACCCACACATACCATGGACTGATTTGTAAGGCTTAAAAGTGAGGCTCAGTGCCTGTAGGGTCAGGGGCATTGTGGCAGGAACCTGTAGGCCCAGCTACTTGGGAGGCCAAGGCAGAAAAATTGCTTAAGCCCAAGAGTTGGGAGGTGGCTGTGAGATCACTGCTGGAGAAACCACATAGTTAAACTGTCTCAAAAAAGACTTCACTGAAACCCAATGGTTGACTCTGTAGTCAAAATAGCCAACAGCTTGATGGTGAAAAAAAGCTCAACAACTTCGTGCCAGTCCTGTTTACTTGAGCCCCCCCCCCCCCCGAATTCAGCGATTAGCTCCAATCTCTCCTTTATTTGAAAGAGATCCCAATATAAATGTCTTTCCTAATTTAGAAAATTGGTATTCATTCCACTACAATTGAAAAATTAAAGTGAAACATGGTAGAACCTCCCCACAACATAGACAAAACCCTCATTTCCTCTAATGGCAGTCAATGAATGGTTTTAAGTGGCTTATAACGGAGATAAAAGTCCAGGTTAATTATGTGCATGCCATTAACTACCATGAACAAAGTCATCTGGATACTTGACTCCTGTGAAATAGATCTTCAAGTTTGGCAGTGGCCTTAAGCACATGTTGGGCTATGGATCTATTTGAGAACCTAACACCTTTCTTACATCTGATTTTAAGTAGTTGCATCAGCCAGCCTTTGCCCATCCCATCTTCAAATATTCTCTGGTAATCCACTTACCTGCTAAGTGGCTCCAGGCCAACAAATATAGCTAACCACTGTTAAATTGCAGTACTACCTTGTGTCAAGTAGCATGGGTCATACGAACCATTTGGATACCTTACTTTCCAAACCCTAAGTTTGTGATGTTAAATAAAATTGAACCACATATGTTTTTGTAAGATTACTCTCTACCTTCCACAAAAACATTCCTGCACTTTACAACAACTACCATCATCAGTAATGAACTGAAACTTAATTCTTTCATTCTAAAAGCTTGAAGTATACCTGAAATATTTAGGTCATGATTAGATACTTAGACCAACCAAATTTGGCTTCATTCACAGCTATCAAAAACCTTGGTGAAAAACCCAGTTTCATAGAAATTCATAAAAACCAAGGTACACCTCGAGTGCAGTACAGTAGCCAGCTTCAAAAACCATGCGAGTGGAACCCTCCAACACAGCATAACCACGATAAACCAGTTATTTGGTAAAGTGTGGCCTTATTTGCCAATTTTTCCTTGTTTCTCAAATTGTTCACTGAGAAAAGGTTAACATCCAGCATTTGTTTTAAAATCATTCCTGTTAGTCATCTTAGATGTTCACTGTCCAAAGTCTTTTCTGACTGCAACCTTGATCTTTAGCCAGAATCACACACATTAAGAACTTGTTCCCAAATGGTGACATCTACTGAAAATGTTTGCCCTAAAGTTCTTTTTCAGTATTGGAGGTATGTGCTTTGTACCAATATGTTTTCTTTCAAGTTTCACAAGAATACCTTAAATTTCAATTACTAAACAAAGAGATAAATGTACAGGAAACGTTTTAATAACAATACCTAGTAAACCCATTATCCTCATAACACCAGTTCATTTCACCCTATTGTGCATTATTTATTCTTTCCCTGTAATTTGTAATATTCCCTTGCTAGTTTGGGTACTTGAGGTGCTACATCAACTTATTGATATATTTCTTCAAAGTTCAATTTCTATGCAGAGGTAGACTTTTTTTTAATCCTTCAGAAGTTTTCCTAATAAATGTGAAGTATTCTCATGCATATGTTAATAGTCAATAATGGATGCAAACTATTATTTCAAAAAATACAGCTCACAATACTTACTGGCCATTAGTTTGACTTACCTGTGAAATATCTCATTATTAAAATAAACTAATCAAAATAATTTAACTTTGCACTTGTTATTTTCTGGTTTAAATGTCCAACTAGGTATGGCCCCATCCAATTTTATCCAAAAAGTTCAACCATTTGTTAATTGTAAAACACAACCAAACTGACAGTAGACAAACTACTATGAAATTTTAAGCTGTAATGATTCCCACAGCCAGTTACTTTCGAACACTCTACCTGGTTAATTTAATTTCAAAATGCCACCAGCAATATTTAAAACAAACAGGGTAAAAGCCAGAAAACTGTAGCAGTATTCAAACGCTGAAATATACAGTGCATAAAGAATAGCATTTTATTAGGGACAGCCAATAATGTCCACAATGCTCTTCTCATTTGTCTATTAATATTGAAAGAAAATATAAATATGTATAGATTTGCAAAATTGCTTTAAAAATTTAGGGGATGGCGATCTTTTATAGACAATTGTATGTTCATAGAACAAGATTCACACATATGATGTGTAAACATTACACCAAGTATTTAGATACAAAAGTATTTATTTTATAAACTTCATATTTAAAATAGAATTTTTATCTATCTACTCACAAAACCTAACTTAAAACATGATACATTTATCTCTCTAGCCGATTTGATGTCATCGTTTTACATACAACACTCATTTTGTTTTATATCAAGAACCTGAACTAAATGAAATTTGTTTTATCAGAAAACATTTCCCTTTTAGACTTAAAAGTGCTTTTTAAATGAAGGCACCAACAAGAACTACTTTCAGATGGTACAGAATTTCTTATTTCTTGAAGACTCTGTGGTTGACCACTTCTTCATTAGTTACCTGCAGCAAGACACCTTCCTGCCAAAGGAAAAAAAAAGTATCTGAAGAAGTTTATCATGTTTGTCCAAAGAACCTAAATAACTTCAGTGGTGGTCTTAGGATCAAAGAAGATTCACTGGTGCATATAGTAGAATAAGCCCTGATTATCACATTCCTGAAAAGGCAATAAAGCCAGGCAATCAAACTCCAGTGAATACCTAAGAGACAAACTTCAGCAGCCAACCTACATCTTTCTTCAGGGTAAGATACTGGGTAAGAATTACCACACCTAAACCCAACTATATAATGTAGACAGACACTACTCAAACTTATCTGGAAGTAGACAGATTCAACCATTTGCCCCTACCTTCTCTTTTCAGCCTTGTGTTAAGTAGGTAAAGCTAGAACCATAAATAGAACAAATGTCTTTATTTTAATAAAACCCCTAAATACACTCAAATGCTTGATCCAAGAAACGTGAATACACAAGGGTGTAATGATGGGAAATCTCATGATTTATTGAACTTGCAGCCTAACTTTTACCTACCATTTTACTACCAACACCACTGAAGGAACCAAGAAAAGCTTTATTAATGATCACTTGGCTTGCCTCAGCTGTTGAAATGAAGCACTTTACAGTCTTTGTAGCAGCAGAATATACTTGTCCATGGCTCTTATCAATGCTAAATTCCAGCAGGGAAAAAAATGATATGTTAAGCACCTGAATCTTCATGGAGGGGAAGGGGGTAGGAAAAGAAGGAAAAAAGGGGAAAAACAACCAAAATAATTTAAGTAAATGACAGATTGGAAAACAGGGTTTAAAAAAATTATTCTCTTGAGTTTATAAATTGTTAAACTCAATTTATAGCTATGTTAAACTACATAAGAACCACTATACTGAAAGACCATTGGAGAGTAGTATTAGTTTATCTTTTAGGGAGGAAAATTAAGAAAGGAAAAGTAAATAAGATCTTACCTAAAGAAGTTTAACTGAAGCTTAGAACTATTTTGCTCTACACCCTCAGCTTTCGTTGGCATCCTTATAAACTACTGTAGTTAAAGCTTTGTAGAAACAGCGCAGTTTTTTAAGACTGGCTGAATTTAGTAGCCGTCAAGAGTTCTCTTGTACTAGACCTGTGTCCCTGAAGAGTACCTCGCTGGGGTTATTTCCTTTCCTTGCATTGAAGAAGCAGCATCTAAAAGA